CCCGTCTCGCTGTCTAGCCCGTTCTACTTTCTGTTACGCTCCGATTTCAGTTAGCGACTTTATTATTCGCCTCCATTGCGAAACTACGCCCTCATAAATGCTTTGTTCTGTGTAGGCGAGACCGTGCTTGATTTGCGTCTCGAATCACATAGATCAAAGGTGCCGATTTTATTGATGCATTTATCTACGTTTTCCTCGGTTTGTATAGAAATTTGCCTCTTGACTGCCGTAAATTTCTATTTATAAAAGCGCAAAAATATATTTTAATTGTCAATTAAGATTCTACGATATTGCGAATGAGATTGCCACAAGGTCTCGCAACATTTTTCTTTTCACGACAGGAATTTTCAAAGATCCGACAGATCGCCGGCAAAATCCTTCCTGCGATTTCCCTCGCGTGGCATGTTCCGCCGATGCAAGTTTTTCATTCCGCTCCATAGAAATCTATCCCTACTCGCGTCTCGGCAATTACGAGCAACGTGCCTCTCGCGTTTTCTTTCTTCTCGGTACGCTCGGCTCTGCGCGACCGCAAATATTCGTACGATAGTCGCACGTCGTACAAAGAGAGATGCGTGCTAGAGTCGGTGGAGTGTAGCGTGGCGATTAACGAACAAATGGCAGGCGGTCGCCGGTAATTGTAATAATTGTAGACGGCGTAGCGCGGCTCCTTCTTCCTACGCCGCCTCCCTTCGTCTTCTTCTGCCCTCCGAGGCAAGACAGGAGCGCGCCATGTGCGCGGCGAAGCCATTGTATGCGTTCGCCTAAGACGCGTACAGGTACATGTACACCGCGTACGCGCAACTCGCCATTGTTTTCCGTCATTATCGGTGGGAGGGAAGCGAGACGGTGGTTTAGATTCTCGACCTGTCATTAAGCGACTTTTTCGCGGTTTCCTTAACAGGATCCTCGATTTCCGCTCGTTCCGCCGAGGAAAACGGCGGAAAGCCGGAGCGCCGCGGCGTCCTAGCGTGAGAAAATATACGGAATTTCGCGATTAACCGGCCACCCGAATACATTGTCGCGTGCAGACGTGCTTTTCCTTTCCCACGCGTCCGCCGCGCAGGAAGCGCGATGAGCAGTACGAGTAACGAATGTATTGGCACCTGTTCTTCATTGCGTCAAGCATCGAAGAGCACGAATTCCTCCAGCACCCGGAGGCTCTTGACAGCTCAAGGTATCGGTGAATGCGTGTATCGCCGAGCAAATTGCAACTTAAGAGAGGAGTAATTACTCGCTATACTTGCTCGCTACAATGTAACAAGCATCTGAGAACTTAAGAAAACGGTGATTAACATCGACGGAAACTATTGTGCCATTTTTATTTTAGATCTCAGATGTCCGGCGGAGATGCAAACCATATGCGATTTTTTTGGGCGGTATTCCGATCATATCCACGTGTTGTGTGCTTAAAAATCGAATCTTTTAAACGTACATACATATCACATCAATATAGTCTTAAGAATAGAGCACTGTGTGCTCTACACATTGTATTAGATTACATTTCTCGGTTCGTCACTCTTCAAATATATAATTCCTGCTGGAAGCGCGAGATACGACTGTCGGATAATCGAACTCCGCGTAAAATTCCCTCAAGTCCGAGAGACAAATAATCCCGGTCCTCTCAAGAAACGCGGATACGAGATAAGTCATTTGCTGGTAAAGAAAACCACGTGCAAGAGAGAAAGAGAAAGAGAGAGAGAGAGTGAAAGAGAAAAAATCAGTATCCATTCCCGATGGAGAATTCGTGCAACCGTTGTCGCGATGCATAATAGCTAGTTAGGTCTCATTGTATCGGTAACGCGTGTACACAGCGCACGCATATGCATGACAATGGCGGTCTTAGAGCGTCGCCATGCTTTTTAGTGACGCTTTTTACGGTTGCATTCCGCGAGGGCCAAGGTGCGCGCTAATGCGCCGTAATTCTTTTAAACGGCCGTCAGAATTAAATTTCGTGGTTGATCCCTTTCGTCAGGCAGCATCCGTCACCAATCGTGGCGTCACCGCGAGATCCGCGCCGTGAGACACAGCCGACGGTATTAAGAATGTTCCTCGTTGATTGTAAAGCATCGCATCGCTCGATCAATCTCGTTCAAACGTCGGGACACGATGGAGAAATGCATTGGAACGAACGCGATCTATTTCGGTTAAGAGAAAGTGTTGCTAAGCTACGCACTAGAATCAATTTTCTTCGTGATATTAGTACAAAAAATGTTTCAATTTTATTAGACTTTTTTGGTTCATTTTAATACATTGTTTATAAAAAAAAATTGATGTCGATAAAATGCTAGATCCGTAACATTTTGCTTTGAAAAGTATTAGTTTGTAATATTTAAGACACAGATTTTTAAAAAATATTTTTTGTATTGTTATTTTTTATTTTTTCATCTATATAGTAAAGTTTAATTGTGAGCGGGTTGCTTTAAGATGCATCGATTTTTTTCATAAACAGTGTACATATTTCATATGCATATCGCTCAACTATGACACAATTCAAAATGTCATTTTTGATGTAGAAAGAACAATTCTTGTTTGTACTGTTTACTGTTAGAGCGATACTATAACACTTTTGTTCCAACTACAATATGTTATTTCGAAATGATGTTTTTACCAAAATTATAATGATTTAAAACATTAAAACTTGTTTTCTGGGAAATCATGATTTTTAGTTATGTC